GTTTTCTTCTCAAAAAATGACAAGTACTCTAGTGGTTCCAAGCACATCGAGATAAATTACTTGGTGGTTAAAGAAAGAATCCAAAAATAACAAGTATCAATTGAGAACCTAAGCAACACTATGATGATTACCGATCCATTTACCAAAGTTTTACAGTGTAAAATATTTAAAGAACATGTTCTTAGAACGGGACTTGTGAGCAAGCCGTAAAAGATATGATAATGCATATTTAAGTGGATGCTATTATTGATATTTTTTATTTAATTAAAATTATTTATTTCTTTTATCCTGTTTACATTTATGTTTATGCATATTATAGTTGAATATAATAACATGATTGTCTTGATAAGACAAATTACATAGGTCATTATGGATTATATTAGGAAAGACTAATAATGTTTTGGTACATAGAAAGGAGTATGATATAGATGATATACAATCGCTATGACTCGTATTGATAGTCGGACTTAATATAGTATTATTGTATTTATTGGACTTATTGGCTTGTTTTTAAAATTCATGATCATATATAAAATGCTTTTCGAAATTCTTTTGGAATACAATTAGGTAAAATTATTTTCAAACAAATTTTATTTTATTTATTTTGATTTTAAATATCTTTTATATCTTATCAATTAATAAGTCAAGTGGGAGAATGTTAGAATATGTGACCCTTTATAATTAGATAAGATATATAATGGAACTAATTGGATTCTGATAACATATATTGACTAATAGAAAAGAAGTTCATATTATAATAGGATTCCTTAGGGGATGCTCTTGATAGGAAAAACTCTTCTAATAATTTATCGTAGACTCTTTGTTCTCGCCTATAAATAGATAAGATCTCTAGTGACTAAAATGAAAATATTGCTTCAGGCAACTCCTGCATACGAAAAGAAGAAAGGAAGAGGCCTGCCAAAAATTGAGAGCTGTTTTAGGGGATTCCATGACAAATTGTGAGATTGAACCCGCCAACGCACAGATTATTGTGTGCCTGCAAGCATCGCCTTTTCTGCCTCCTGCAATCACAGAAGAATTGTTCGATTTAGAACTTTCTGAAGAATTGCCTGTTGGATCTCCTTTCTCATCAAATAAATAATCCTTCAGTGACCATGGACAACCCTCTCAGCCCCAGTCATACACTACTTATTCAGATCCTTGGTCGAGACCACAAAGGACTCCTCTATGACGTAATGAGTGAGGACTCTAAAGAATTACAATGTCCAGGTAATAACATTAACAAGAACATGCTAACCAAAATGAACGTTAACAAATAATAATAATCATATTATTTTACCTTGTCTTCGCTAGTTCGTTTCAACTATGATTTTGCTATGCATTCGACCTTTTATCATGAAATGATTTTGTTACTATAGCTTACCCCTCCCCATGTACTTCATATTATAAGATGCTTCCTAGTAATTTATGACAGGATGAAGTTTTGGTCGTTAAATTCCCTATTTCTGATGATGCTAAATGCACTTTAAATGGTTCCTGTTAGATCTGCTATGGCCGATTCCATTCGAGCCAGGATGGAAGATGTGAGATTGATTTATTTGTGATGCAAATGGATGGGAAAAAGATCATTGATCAGGGCAAACAGAGAGCCTTGTGTTCGCACTTCAGATTCGCATATTTTTGGTATGTCTTCCGATCTTCTGATTTGCATAATCATAAACAATTATTGTTTCTGGTGCAATATTTTGTGACTTATAAACCATGATAGTACAATGATGACCACATTTTCCCCTTGTAATTGGCAAGCTACTATTTACTACCATCATAGGATAATTTAGGAGTCACCCTGTAAACCATGGGAAATATCTCTCTGAACATTCAACCACTAACCCTTCACACAAGAGCAGATGGATGTCAAATATTAAGTTACTGCCCAGCTGGTGTTTTCTGCACCCATACCTCAATGTCGTTTCATAATTTTTGCCTTTCGAATGACAGCAAAAACTTCCATAACATTTTTAGTATAGCTATATCAATCTCATGACAACAAAGATGGCATTCACAACTCTTAATAAATTATATGCTCTCAAATTTTCAGGCCGAGAGAGATTGGGAGGCATGTCATTGGTGATAGGGGAGTGGGAAGTCTATAGATTCCTCCTTTGTGATGATTTGAAGTTGTGTGCATCACAAAACAAGATAATAGAGGGACTGACCAAGATGTTGATGGGTTGGGAGTAATTGGTATCAAAACTCATCTCTTCTGGGTGCTTTGCCTATTTCAGATCTGGTGCAATCAAGAAGCTCATCATTAGGCTATTCTTTTGTACATCACTTGTGTATGTTCATCTATCTTTTCCCCTCTTGTCTGTAGCATTAAATATTGTAACTTTGTCTCTTCAAAAGATCTCGGAGACAAGGGGCAACTCTTTGACATCATATGTTGAATTATACGGAGAGAAAAACAAGTATAGTACCAACTCCTGTTTCTATGTGCATCCATTCTTACAAGCACTTGTGCTGCTGTTGTTTAAAGTCTGTTGATACTGTAATATATGTTACATTTGCTATATATTGAAAGCTAAAATCCATTGTGATCCCCAATTTATGCAACTGATCAGTGTGCACTGTTTATCTGCTTCAAAATACCCTCTCCATTGTTGCCATGATAGAAATAAGTTCGATTCTACACTGTTATAACATCACGATGGATTTACAGTTGCAAAGGTAATTTACAGTCAGGCAACATGAATTTGGTGGTGACATTTATCCCATCAAGCGAGAGATCCAATTCCATCAACCAAAACTGTAATATTAATTTCTCGATGCAGACGGGAAGAAGACTAGCTAGCGTCTGAGCAGCTGCTCTGTTTGCGATCAGGGTGCGTTTGATCCTCTCCCTAAAAGTAATATTTTTCCAAATCTGACATATGAATTCACTGATCTAAAACTCAATTTGGAACGAAGCTCCCCCGGGAAAATCCATTTCACCGCTTAAAATATTTATCCAAGAGAAATATTTTGGTCCTATAAATAGTGGCAGGTGCTTGATGGTTGGCGTAATTGCTTTCCTAAGCAATTTAGGAAGTTAATTGAGGATGACGCAATGGCATTAAATTAATCAAATGATTCTTCTGTGATCCGAGAATAAAGGCAAAAGGAGGAAAGAAGTGATTCTAGGAACTTAAAAAATGTTTGATAAAACAATTCATTTTGCCTCTGCAAATTACCTCCAAACTTATATATATGTCAAACTAATATAATATTTGTGAAGAACAGAGAGGAGATCAACAGAAAGAAACATAATTGACCCGAGATTTCAAGGGGAAATCCATTCGTTAAAATGCCAGGATAAATGGATCAAATGAAATGGAAAAGCTTGATTCGAAGCTTGTCAGTTTCCTGATGAACAAAACAAGTTCACTGGGTACCAACGGACTGGGAGATGTCACAAAGAGTTGTATATTTGTTGTGAAAGATGATCATAACAAGAGCTAAAAAGTTCTCTTAAAACATCTTTACGAACCAAAATTAGTCCCACACTGCTTCTATCTTGATAGGTAAAATAGCAGTTGGGGCAATTCGATAAACATCTGACCAAACCACCTACGTGCCAACGACTAAGACAATATAAATCTATAGTTTGAACTAAATGCCACTTGATAGTACTTTAATATCTATTTTTGAGATATAATAATAGTTTGATTCAACAAATTTTTGCTATGATTTCTTGTTAACAATGTATGATAGTGATTTAACAGTCCCACAAAGTGTTCATTCTGAAACTATATGCAGGCAATTAATGAACACAGAAATGGAGCCTTTATTTTTTGTTAGGAAGCATTAATTTAGAAAATCAAGTTGATTGCGAAGTCTTTTCCATAATTAACATAAGAAATTAGCAACAATCTCTTGTATTATTTCACAAACAAATTACATCAAGTTCATATCCAAAAGATTGTTCAGTGTACTTTAAAATAGAAAACATATCCAAATTACATCAAGTAAACATAGGAGACCACAGAATAGAAAACCCAAACAGCATTGCAGACACAATAAAAGAATTCGAGTAACATACCTGAAAGAAAATACCTAATTTGATTCTAGTGTCAATATAAGCCTTCAAATAAATTTGAATTCCTTTTAATACACCATATTAAGATGGTAAAGTCACGCATATAATCTTTCAGATGGCGTTCTGATGAGAAGATAATAGTGGTCGTTTTATTCGTAGTAGTTTTACAAACTGGATAAAAGAACCATAACTAGTTTATTTGGTCATTTTGAGGATAGCTTTCTCCATTAAAAAAAAGGTCTGACATCCTAATTGATCGATCAAGAAAACCCCTGAAAACAAATACTTTCATCATTTTATCACACAGTCAGTGATTCATCTTTTTTGCTTTTCTTTTATAGGTTTGGGATGAGTATCATTGTCCCCAACACATGTTCTTCCCATCTCTTTGGATGTTAATTATTTTCTTTTGCAAATGGTAAATGGGATCCCAATATCCTACTATCAGCAGTCCAAGCTTAACAACTAGCATTTTAAAAAATGAATCGAGTTTTAAAGTCTTTACTTATTTATTTTTTTTTACATTAATTTAGCATTGTGTATCTAACTAAAATTCTCATGGAGGAATTCAACATCCTACTAGGATCAACAAGGGGTCAACTGCAGCTGCACAATGCTGCAGTTTCTTGTGCAATTATTGTGTTAATCAGCATATTTCTGTTTTAAAACACTTTATTTTTTTTTTCCGTCCATAGATGTGGACACTAGATTAGCCTATCATACTGCTGACAAAATTTTAGTTACCATAATGAAACAAAGTTTTTGCCAATACCTGATGGTTGTAATCTGGGCTCCAATAGATGTTGGACACAAGACCAGGACGAAGCATTGTACACGAGCACAGTAGATGAAACATACATCCAACATCTTGACGGAATATTTCTGAAAATTATAAAGTTGTAAAAACCAGGAATACCGTTCTGGAAAATGTGCAGAATGATGCAAAAGGGCAAAACAAAAACTCTGACAAAGAAAATTCTATTTCTCATTCATAAATGCTTTCCATTTTTCCCTGATGTACAGTGACAAGTTGTGACTCAACCAAATACAGTTCATTTTGGTGTATCCTCTTTGGATTAATCAGTGGAAAAGAATATCACTTGGCCAGAAGCATAAGTAGTATCTGCACTCCTGACTTACTATCACAAAATAATTCTCTTTTCAAAAATTATATCAAGATACCTGTGCAGCTAAGATTGCCATGACCTTCTCGACTCCTTCAGAGCATAAAATGCAGGAAGAGGTGTGTATATGTAAACATTAGGGCAATATCCAATGGCTTATCAAATTGCTTCATATCCTGCATCCACTATTTTTGGTCTCTCTTGGTGTAGCACTCACTGTAAGTTCTTGATTGGTTAATAAAACTGAAACCTGAACTTTATATGGTGATCTCTTTATTACCAATTGCTTCTTATTCCCGCATCCACCATTTCTGATCTCTGTCAGTATAACGCTATAGGTCTTGATTGGTTCATAAATGGGAATCTTGAACTTGTTATGGTGATTTATCTTTCTGTCCCAATGATTTCTGCTTGTATCCATGCTTCTGCCTCTCCAACAGCTTCTCCCTTGATTTCTTCTTTTTATCCATCTTTTGCTTCAATCTCTCCTCCCTTTCCCTGTCAAGGATCCCCTGCCAATGCACCTCACCAGTTAAAGGCCACAACCATCTGTCATTGGGATGCATGCCATCATCTGCTTTCTCAGCTAAATCTTCATCCATGCTCTTCAGTAGATCTGAATTGAAGTATTTCACCCACATATCTCTGAGCTCAAGAGGGTGCTGTTCTTTTAGCTCCCCAGTAAAGGGGTCAAGGTAAACCATCTTTCTACCACTATGATAAGCCCAAACATTGACCAACACTTCCAAAACACGGCAGTAGCAGTGCCTTATCTGAGTTTATGATTGGCCATTAAATAAGTACATAGTAAAATTGAAACTGATTGGTGCAGGATAATTAAGTTACCTCGAGTCTTGATGATCCAAGAATGCAAGAGGTCAGGCTACTGTTGTTCTGATTTAAGCTATCAAGTGAATCAGCAAAAATTCTGTAATTCAGCAAATAAAACATGTCAATGAAACATATGTGGAGAATTTCACTGGAAAAAGAGATAAAAAAAGAATACCTTGCAAACATTATAAATTCTAGGAAGGAGGGTGTTGGCATCACCCAGCTGTGAAGAACAGACCAATGGTCACCATCAAAGGGCATTGGGGGCAGGGCTCGCATGTCAGGTGGTAGCCCATACATTTGTCTAAAAGCATCTTCAAACATCACCCTGCAAGAAATTGAAGTAAAAGAGTTTGATAAACTGTTTAGGAAACAGTATATATATCCTTTTAGATCATGTAGTATACCTGTAGTATAAGCCCCACTACACCTGTTTCCTATTATATATAAGCCTGCAAAACTAACAACTTTTAGCTTTAGTGGGGCTTGAGAATTTAAGATTATCTAACTGCAGTCCTATCCATCCTTAACCCAGGTTTAGAAAAATGGGACCAAATAATATTTTAGTCATTATGTGGGGATTAAGATTATCTAACTGTGATCCTGTGACTCCTGCCTACTGCTGTCATGAGGTGCTTGGGTGCTCTCTTTGGTGCCAGAGCAAAGGTGAAGCGAGACCTGAGTGCCGTAAAATATCTCGAGCAAGGCATTTTGATTGGCCACTGCCTAGGCGCACCTGGTCCAAAGAAGGTTGGTAGAGCTTGAGTTGAACCTAAGCTAATTGTCAACTCAAACTGATTGGTTCAGGTTCAGTGCAACCAAGCCAAATAACAACACAATCCATGCCCACACATCCCTTGGAACTCTAAGGGATCATGCTACTCTGTGTGTGGAAGGCAAGCAATGGTGTGCCTTGCCCTTTCCGCTGTGACCTCCAATGGTGCATCCTCACAAACTTTGTCTTGTACTTCCACCGATTCCTAATAAATCCACTTATGGCCATCAAGGACTGCTTCTGGAAGTGCGAGGAGGCATTAGAAAGTGGAAGGAGCCACCACCATTCTCTGTTGGTAAGCGATTGCAGCTCTCTCTCTCTCTCTCTCGGTAGTGTGCCTTCTCCTCGCACTATTGCTCTCCCTCGCCTCCCACCCGACAGCCTCCCCAGACCCCGACAACACCCCTCTTCCTCCTCCTCCATCTCCACCTCCTCTCTGGTAGTTCATATTCAAAAAATTAATTGAACCAACTACCAAATCTACTAAGCCCTAGAACAACCAAATTTTGTCACATGCACAAATAGTTCCATTTTGTGCTGAGTTTAAAGAATATTGTCGAACAAGGAGATGTATCTGCTGCTAGTTGAAGCATCAATACATCTAGTAACAGGATATCAGATAATACCTTCTCAATTACACAAGCATAAAGCTATTTTACAGTTCTTCATGTCAATGACAACACAACAGTTCTACTAAGCCCTAAGATGTTAATATCATGCATGTCACTATCCTAGCCTAAGAAAATTTCAGGCTGACATAGAGAGTCACTAGAACATGTATATCCACAGAAATAAATAATATATTGTGTTTATAACATATAGCCTATAATAACGTCAAACACCAGACTATTTATAATTTTTTTTCAAGCCAGTAAAATACTGGTCGCTAGTAACTTATGGAATACTGCCAGAAATAGTAGATACCAAAAAGGACCTTTTCTCTCTTCCTTCTGTCTAGAACTTGTAGGAACTCAAGTAAAGCTGGTCACCAGCTGATGATGTGTGGAACGGGTCACAGAGTAAGGAGGGTCATCAACCGAACAAATGTAGTGGGTGTTGGTAAGGTGCAAGGGGTCTGCAAGAGACCATTGAAACTGGTTGAATTTCCACTGAGATTAGCTGAATTTAGAAGATCCAACGTACAACAGCAAAACAGTTTTTCTTGACATAAAGGCTAAAGCTATCAAGCTCAAACTAATGATGAATCACAGATTTTTATTTACAACACAGTTGAAGCTTTTCTTAAAGCTGATACAACCTTTTTAAGTCTTCAAAGAATTCCTGAATCGAACCAAAGCTTTTATATAAGTTACAATTTCATCATTGATCTACAGTTTCCTGGAGAAACCTACATTTCTAACAAAAATCAATCATATAACCTGCTGTGCCCATTTCAGGCCACTCACACTGTACGTGTCATGTCACGTACCAACAACATTGTGTCATGGAATGCCTATGCATGGAAAATGTCCAATTCTCATATAGGTGATGGGCACATGGCATGGAACCATGTGCCAACCTGTAGGACCTGGCAAAATGCAAGTGGTTTGACTAGCAGACCCAGCAACTAAATCCCTGATTTTAACACTAAATTCATGCATATTACTAGATAGGGCAACTATTGCAAACCAGCATATAAACAGATCAAATAGAAGTAAATGCAAAAGGATGAAGTACCTGCACTTTGCAGCATTTAAGAGATCACACATGGACCAGAAGTCAAGTTTTCTGTTTATATCAACTTTGTTCAGGCCCATATCCATTACTGCCCAATAGTAGATTATATCCCCTTTGCTTTGTCCTTGTATTGTCTTCTCCAATACTTCTTCAGCAGCATGAGACAAAGAAACCTGTTTCACAATAAGATAAACTTTCACCAAGTATGTTATAGAATTATAAAGATTTCCTTTATAATTAGCAAAGACAATAAGATAAACTTTCACCAAGTATGGTATAGTAGCAAAGACAGTTGCACTCATGTGACTCAAATTGACAAGTTATGCTCTAGCATGATGGAATGCCTACTGTTAACTTATAGCAATGAAGAGATAACATGTGGGCAATCTAAAAGTCTTATTCGACATTACGAATTCTACCCAATGGACTACCTCGAAGATCGATGGAAAAGATGACAACTTGTGTCAAGGACGAGACCAATTGATGCAAGACAACACCATCGAGTTTCGACAACAAGCGATGATATGAAGTTTACCATTGGTTCGCACGCCCAAATAAACTAGTAGCGAGAAGACTATGAAGACAACCAAAGAGGGCTACTTAAAGGTCAAAAAAAAATTTCAGCAACAATAAAAATTCTTCTTCCTCGAAGAGAAGTGACCACTTCTAAGATCACTAAAAATTTACAAGGCATATAAGGGAGAAGTGTTGGTTCACACAAAATTCTTTCCAAAAAAGTGAAAGAAGAATAACCGAAGTCGACGAACAATAGCTACAACTGTCGACGATGATCCCATCGAGCTTGTGTTAATTCATTTGTAGATTCGAGTCCGAGTTCATTGATGGTGAGGCTAAAGGTTATAGACTTGATTCCATCCATTGGACCAAATATTATAGAAAAGCCATGCATGTTGAAAAATCAAGTTAAGAAGTTATCGACGCCATCATCGACATTGACAATCAAATAGATCTCATCTCAACAAGCTTGGTCCAGAAGCTTGGCCTACAAATCATACCTCATCTGAACTCATACGACTTGGGTTGGATCCAAAAAGATATAGAGATAAGGATAGATCGACTATGGAAATTTTGCTTCACCGTCGATAGTAAGCATATTGATGAGGTATTGCTTCACCATCTTCGACATCGACAATCATCCTTATGAACGACATGGAAGAAAGAGGATGGTTGTATGGTACAGGAGCTCATTAGCAAATATATGGACCTTTTTACCAAAAACCACAAACTACCTCCATGACGAATGGTAAAGCACGAAATATAGCTCATCTCCAAGCACCACTACCGAATCTCAACATGTATCAAAACTCAATTTTAGAGAATGAAGAAATCTAACAATAAGTGGCTGAGCTAATCGAGAGCGATGTTATCAAACCAAGCTATTCTCCTTGCAAAACACGGTGGTGATGGTGCTGAAGGACGAAGGATGGTGCATGAGCATAAATTACCATGCCTTAAACAAGATCAAAGTGAAAATTTGGTATCCCTACCTTAGATAGACGTGCTGGACCACCATCTTCACCAAATTGGATCTCAAATCGAGTGGTGCATAGCTCCATGATCAAACCGTCGTTCGAGGTATGCTTAGGCTACTTGCCCCAGAGCCCTTTTGATATGCAGTTTGCAATCAATTCACGTCACAAACATCCAAAGAAGGCAACATAATGCTAGAAGCACAAAAATTTCTCGAGCATATCTAATGGGCGCCCAAGGAAGTTGAACAACAACTTCAATGGGCTCAACAGAAATACAAACATGACCGACATCATATTGAGGGTCGGTTCCTAGAAGGTGACTTTGTCTTGCTGCACCTAGGGAAGGAATGAGCAAAAGGAAAATGAAAGAAACTCAAGCCATCCATTATGAATTGTTCAAAATCTTAAAGCGAGTTGGAGACAATGTTTGCCAATTTGAGTTGCCTCTGTACGTAGAAATGTACTCAGTTGTGAACATGAAGAACTTGATGGTGTTCAGGCCATTAATGCTAGACCATAAACAAAAAGAGACATTGCTTTTGATAGATGACTTGGTGATCAGCTAAGAGAAGACTAAAACCATTGTCATACCATAAGATAAGGCATCAAAACAGCTTTTCGAGTACGACGCAAAGGACAAAAGCCAAGTTCAACAAAGTGGTTCACGAAGGAAGCTAGTGAAGCAAAGTTTCCCAATCTTCAATTTCAAATTCATCAGAATCTGAATCGCCAAATTTGGGGAGTCATGATTAGGAACAATCAAACTCAATTTAAGTCCTACTCCAATTCAACTCAAACTCAGTTCGAATCATACTCCAATTCAATCCAAACTTAGTTCGAGCCATACTCAAATGCAACTCAATCTAGCCAAGTCAAACCCAAGCTCAAAGCTCAAGTTCGGCTAGCTCAAAGACTCAACCCAACTCAATTCGAGTTGGATTGGAATTGGAAGAAGAGTTGAACTCCGATTAAGAGTCCTACTCTAGTTAGGTGTCCTCCCCTCTACAACTTTAAGAAGAGGGGTGCGGTGCGGTGCGACAACACTAAAGAGGACATGAGCAGTAACCTAAGAAAGAAGAGTTGGCGAATAGAAAGAAGAGAACAGAGATAGCAGGATTGTAGCCTTAAGGAGTTTGAGCTATTGTTCAGGAAGTCTGAGCTTGTTGCTCAAGAAGTCTCTTTTTAGTTCATTGTTTAGGTATTTCTTTACAAAAGCAATCTAGATCGTCTTTTCCTTTCAGTTATCATGCCCCCACAAAGTATAAATCAGCTCGAAGGAAGGATCAAGATCATCGAATTTTTCCCCAAACGGATTAGAAGAAAGAGCAAAATGATGAAAGTAGAAGTGGAGGTGATAAGAGTTAAAGTAGGCCGTATAGGAGAACAAGGGGATATATACAATGATGTTCCATTTGTGAGCAAAATACCAACTATTTGAGTGTGAGATAAATATTATGTAAAGGACCAACAACATGCAAAGTGGACATGCACATAAATGTAAATAAATTATTTTCAAAAGTATTTTTGTCCAACAACACATTGTGATAGAGATTAAGATTCATAGCACCCAACCTTCCAAAGCAAAAATTAGTTAATCTTTGTTTTTGTAATCAAAGAGACCTAAGACGAGACTATCTGAAAATGCATATGCCATCTGGACTAGAATGTGCTAAAGAAGAAAAACTTGTAACCATTTTATTGCAGATAATGATGTAAACATACCATAAAGTTGCAATGTTAATCACTTGTTGATTGTGACAAATTAATTTCAAAACAGAAAAAAAACACATGCAGCATTTGGGAAGTCACAAACTCTAGAGTTAGAAGTTTGGTTCAAATTGACCAAAAATAATCTGTCAACACAAAAGGCACAACAACCTTCACCAAGAAACAATCAACAAATCCTTTATTTATGATGAATGTCATGGTCTTATGCAGCATTTAATAAGTCACAAACTCTAGAGATAGATTTTTTGTTCAAACTGACTAAACAGTCTGTCAGCACAAAAGATGCAACATCCGTCATTAGGCAACAATCAACAAATCCATCATTTAAGATACATGTCATGGTCTGCACCAAGCTCCCTGTTCAAACTATTTGATGTTTCATTTAATTTTGCTTATTGTAAATTCTAGACCAATTTATAATCTCTTTCGGCTGATTTTGTACTTCTCAAGATCTTGCATAATTATTTGGCTACATATCAGGGCATCAAAGTTTTAAAGCAAGAGTCTCCAAGATCTCTTGTCAATCACATTAGGGCAAACAGTATCATAATATTATGGCCTTTGGAATGGGACTATGTGAAAGTAGAATAAGCGACAAGAAAACCATATTCATCTATGAAAACATTAAAAACATTTTAACCTATACTATATATCATTAATTGTGATCAAACAGAGTCTTGTCCATGTTACCTAATTTATCATTACTAGCATAGTTTAAAAAAACCATCCCAACCGATATGAACCAGGTGAAAAATACCAATCTGACAAAAAACCAGCTCGTTAACCGACCCATTTTGGAGGTTCAAATCCAGATCACTTCGAATATTATAAAGTATATTAAACTTCCTCTCTCTATCATGTGTGTGTGTCAACCCCAAGCCCCTAAATATGTGGGACATGTTGTCGCTGCCTAGCTCACCCACCACCGCCAATACTTCTGTCTCTCCTCCTCTCCTCTTCTTCCTCTTCTATTTCTCTTCTCCACCTTTCGCTCCTCCATCCACTCTCTCAGTACCATGGCATGTTCTGTCATAATATGTATAAGTACACTGGTGTAGTGTTTTCAAAAACCCTAGGCGCCAAAAGGCACGAAGGTGCTAAAACGCCCAACCTTTCAAGTGAAGCAAAGCACTCTCCCAAATATGAAAATTTAAAAAAATATATTATGATTGATAAATATGGTCATAAAAATAAAATGACAATCATATAAAGTATAGTTACATTGTAGGAAATAAAAGCAGATATCTACGATGTTCCTACTTAACAGTATATGTTCTGTTATGTTTTAACTCCTAATAGTGTACCCACCTCAAGCTGATGTTGGAAATTAACAATGTTGGAAATACAAATAGGAAATAGGCGATCATTAACGGTGCAAGAAAGTGATCATTTAACAAACATAATGTTACCTATAAACTGAGAAAGAGGAGATGGAGAAGTAAACGATGGAGGAAGGTGGTGGTTAGGGCAGAGGATATTGGCAACTGACAACAAAACAAAGCTAGTCGACAACGAAAGCACACACAACAAAGAAACAGAGTTGTAGATGGTAGCGTAGGAGCGTAGGGGGAGGAGGCTCGCGATCCGACGACATAGGGCAAAGGGGGCTCATGGTCCGATGGCGTAGGGTGAAGGGGGCTCGTGATCCAATGATGTAGGGAGAAAGAGGCTTTCGGTTCGACGATGTACCCTTGTGGTTAAGCGGCATAGGGCGATGAGGCTCAGCATTCGTCGACAAAGGCCGAAGGCGGCTCACGATAGGGTTTCTAATCCTTAACACTGGATCAGGCATTTGGGTGGGGGGGGGGGGGGGGGTTGGTGGGGAGTGAAATTAACCTATGTCTAGTTGGTTCGGTTGAGCCACCTATGTGAAATTAACCTAATTTGGACTTGATTTGAGTGCTATGTCTAGTCGCTCGAGCGACACCCTCTTTAAGTGCTTCGCCCGACCTTGTTATGAGGCACTCGGACCTCGCCTCATCTCGCTCGTGCACCTTTTGAAATCACTGCATTAGTGTGAACCAAACCTGTAAAGATCAAGCCAAAGTCTAACGGAGTCCAATAATTGAAACTTTAAACCCTGAAACTTTAAAATCTTCTGAATGTATCTAAGAGTTATTAGTTGGCTATTTTTTACACCCAACTAGAAGCCAAATAAAATTTAGAAAGATGATTTCATGGATCAAATGATATGCATATGTTTTTTGCTTGGTCCATGTTTAAATTTCAGTTTTCTATATAAAGTGAAAAACTCTATGATCTGTTAGCTTAGAGGGGAGAAACAGTATGGGTTTGACCAGAGGTCAGTCATTCTGGAAGCTGCTTATATTTCCCTTAGGTTGGCTTGTAATCCCGGGAGCCAATGCACTGATTTATTATTTGTTTATTTATCTACTTGTGCACATATGAACCTTTTTCAAATCCATATGATTTATATGTGTTGTATTTTCCTTGTTTCGAAAGGTGTTCTACTTCGTGTTAGGATGAATAAAATCATCTAGAACAAACACAACCAACATGTTCAGGGCTGGATGCAGCTCTTAGGAAAACATAATGACAGCAGAGGACAATGGTAACCAATCCAACACAGTTAGAGATAAAGGTGTATCGTTTTATGATCAATACTTTGCATGTTCTTGTAGTTACCATGTGACATTATGTACTTGCTCAAAGAACTATTTGGCAATAAATGCAGGATTACAACTAAAAGATTTTTGAATATTTCTTTTTGTCACATAGTTATGGGTGATTGTTCTTGTTATTATGGTATGGGAAACAACAATTCAGCCTGATGACTGTTAAAAAATAAGTACAAAAAACTATGTGAAACAGTTTGTAAAGATTGACCCAAATATTGACTTGTATGCCGTAGAAGATACAAAGGTTTGGCTATATTTATGTCATAAATATAATGCATACCTTGTTTCCAGCAGCACGCCATGACTGGAAACCGATCCATGGTAACTTGTGAACGCTGTCCACACTGTTTGCAACTGCAAACATAGCGCCAGTCTCACATAAAAGATCCCTAAAGTATGTATCATTCAGGACAGGAAGCCGGCTAACTGCATCTATATCATCTGAGTTTGATCTTCGGGCTCTAAATGACTGAAGTAAAAAAGATTAAAGGTGAAGGTGGTAAAGCATGATCCAGTTGCAAGCTTATTCAATTTAACATATAGAAAAAAACCTTCAGACAAGAGTAAATTAATTTTGCTGGAAATAAGCTTAGATGACAATTATGCAGGTGGAAATTGAGGAAAAGACGAAAGTTAAAGTAAATTAGTGGCAACCTGGATGTAATACTAATGAATAAGTACAATGCAACTGGCCTAACTTGCAATCTCATCACAATCAATAAATATGAAGGGACAAACAAAAGAGGGGAAAAGGAGAGAGTTTGGTAGAATAGAAGAAGAAAAGAATCTAGTAAAACAAGAATGAAACCTAGCATTGCAAAAATGCTTGAAGATCAAATAATTTACTTTGCAAGAAGAATGTTATAATGTAATTTCATTGAGAAGCATACTAGCATGCTGGTGAATCTTAAATTTGATTAATAACAGTACAAAAGAATTAGTTGGTCTATGATACTTCCTATCATAACCTGGAAAACTGAAACATAATTGGACATTTTTTTGTTTTCTGAACCAACGCTTTCACATTTGGAGACCTAATCTTTAACTGGAGCAGATGAGGTCTGTCAGAAGGGACAAACAAAAGGCACTTAAACAATCCCATAGGTTTCTGTTGCATATTCAGAAAGTAGCAAATGACTTTATAATCTCTAGAATTAAGGAAATACCCCATGATTTTTTTACATGACCTTAGTTGCCATAAGTGAAAGCAAGATGGATACAGTTGTACATCAAGAATTGAGGAAGCAACAATGATTGAGAATATAGAAGTAGGAGGCCTGTCAAATATTGTATATGTATGTATATACATATACATGTATACATAGATGTATGTATATATATATATATATATATATATATATATA